CTTCGTGAAATGGCTGGGTAGCAGCAAAGAATGTGCACATTGTGCTCAAGAATTCTCTGAGGATATTAGTGAGACTTAGATATAGAAATTAGTAGATACGTGTTTTATCGCACTTGTAATCAGCGGGTTTCTGTGACTTCAATTAGAATGATTGTTCATGTAAAGTCATGAGAAGGAAGGCAAGAGTGTGTGTATATGCAACTATGTAAAATATTTGTAATTAATTAGAATGTGAAATCATGTTGTTGTGCGGAAGTATTTGTTTATTGTTCTCCCTTTGGTTTTTTGTGACCGTACTTCTCACTCCCTACAACATATGTGTCAAAGCCGACATCATCCTACTGTTGCCAAATTAAACAATTTTGCTTTGTTTTATTTGTCTGGTCAATTGTTAAATCCTTGTCTTATTACCCTATCAACATATGTGGTATACCCCAATATATCAGAGTTACTACAAATGCCATGCATAAACTAAACACGTGATTTTAAAGCTTAGTAAATGATAGATTCCAACAGTGAAAGAAACTACACTTACTTTTTAATACAATGGGAAATTTCAGGTAAGACATAACATTTTCCCCTGAATAACAATTAAATCTGAATAAAATATATAAAATAAACTTAAAAAGAAAATATAACAATAAAACAATTTAACAGACATGTAAAAGTAGTATGAGTGTTAAAAATAATAAAGAATGCATTTACTAGTGTATTTATATCATATAAAATCTTCATTCAGTAGATGTTTGATGTTATTCATGTTATGTGAAATTAAGTAAAAGTAAAATCTTTGTGAACAGATAGCTGGTAAAAAGGATAAAATACATGATAGATTATATAAGTTCCATTGGGGAGTACTCTTAAGCAGAGCCAATCCAATAGATGTAATTGTTAAAGTATTTATAGTAAAATAACTGATTAAAGTATTTAATGTGTTCTTTAAAATTGGGAAGATCCAATTTATACTACACTGGTGTGCGAAACTTAATCAACAATTGCTTTTTGCTATAACTCTGCAAGAAATCACCTGGAGACATGAAATTCAGAATGTAGAGAGAGTATTTTGTACTTAAAGGATGAAGAAAGCATACTAGTGCAAAAATGAATAGAATGCATACAGTATGGAAAGTACAGTAAAGCCTCCTTCTTATTGTAATCTTGCACTGCGCATGCTTACTGCACATATTCTATGTGCCCTCATGACACGTGTGATGTCTTCTTCCTGAATATAAATCACCTTTCTACTGAGTTGGGTGTTTATTGTACTGATCACAACAAGTCCTTTTCTATAATTTCATGGCTGTCTACTTAAAAATTATATTGTTGCTTAAGTTTTGCATACCAGTGTAATTTTGAGATAGAAGTGTAATTAGAATTACTTGCAAAATACAGGTATACCTTGCCTTACATCAGTAATCGGTTCCAGGAGAGGCGACTTAAGTTGAAAAACGACGTAAGCCAAATTTACTTGTGCCGAATTTACTCATCACTAGGCTAATAATTAGGATTAATAAGAATCTATTTTAAGCTTACAAACAAATAAATTTTAGTTTTTAATATAGTACAGGGAGAAAAGTAATCTAAATTTACGAATACATGTACAGTACATACAGTACATACTTGTAAATGTACATGTGTATAATTTGACGATGTTTACAGTACATTGCGGACTCTTTATTTGTGAATGTGGTTTGCTCTAAGACATTATAAAATAAGATGATTTTGTAAGGTTAAATAACAAATACAGTTATTAAAATTATTTTGTGACAGTAGAAAATAAACCAATTTATATTAAATTTACCAATATCGAGTGGTGCTGACAATGATGCCAAACGGTAGATATTGAAGCTACCATGGAAAGCACCAATATTGAGCACTTAAAGATCGCTAAAAAGACGAGAACACAGAAACACAGATATTTTCATGTTTCGTTTTCTACGATTTATGATGATTATATTAACATTTACTGTAAATGTAGTTTAATATGATTTTGTGCGCTTTTAACACTTTTCTAGTGATATTACAATTTCAGTATTTGTGGCCAACAGATATAAAGTCAAATAAAATGATTTAAACTTGATTTTTATTTTTCCATATATTTTTTTGACAAACGATGTATAATCAAGAACGATGTAACTCAAGGTATATCTGTATAAAAATATATTAGAAAATAAAAAACTAATGTAACAAATATAGATATAAAATATAATAATCTCTCAGAAATTATAACACTATGAAATAATAAGCAACTGTTATTTTATTACAAAAACTTAAAAACTAAAGCATATAAAAACTGAATGGAGAGTAGAAATTTTTAAACTGGAAATCCTATGATAAATGTAAACAATTAGAGCATTGCTTATTTTCAACTTTTCAGTGCTAAAATCTTCATAAAAATAAAACAATGGACATGTTCTATTTGTTGTTATTTTAGAAAAGACTCAAATAGTGCATGCTTTAATTTGTTGTAATTTGAGAATTAACTTGTTGATATTGGCAAGTTAAATCTAGAATTAATGCACAGTAAGCACTAATTTTAACAGAACTCATGATTTAAATCAGTGATTCTCAAACTTTTTCGATCCACAGCCTTTTTATTCCATAAAGTTATACCCAACCCCCCCAACTGTGCACCACTGTCCCCTAACCCATTTTCCCTTGTATCAGAAAGGTTTGGAAATATTCTCAGAAACACATTTTTTTTATGAATCTCACTTTATGTCCTTACCATACATTGTTCTCAACATCTGGAAACCATTAAACACAATGTTTCTTCTTACCTGTTTAACAGAGGAGAGGGAAAGGCTGTCAGTGACCCCCAACCTTTGCCTATGGTCACCATTCAGGACCCTGTCTCCAGCATCTCCTGACACCCACTTGCTTCTTTTTGCCCACTAGATTTACTCACCGCCCACAGAGGGCAGTAGTGCCCACTTTGAGAACCACTGATTTAAATCTTATTCTAGATTTAACCTGAGGTGGTGAATACAACCATTAATGACATAGGCCCAATAAGATTATAATGGAGCTAAAAAATTCATAACTTCTTGTATCTTTTCTATGTTAGATATGTTTAGATACATGAACACTTACCACTGTGTTACAATTATGCTATAGTACGTATAGTCTACATGAATAGTAGCTTATATCATATAGGTTTATGTATGTTATGATGTTTGCTTAATGATAAAGTTGCTTAACAACATATCTTTCGGAATGTATCCCAGTCATTAAGCGACACATACCTGTAATACAATTTACATTTTAATACTTAAAAGTTATACCTCCATTTTCTTTTTCATTTCCTTATATGAGATACTCATTTGTCAAATCAATTAAGTCCACAAAATAAAGAGTAGAGAAACTGATAATATACATTATTTTTAAAAATTCCTTTAAATTTTAAATTTAAGTAATTCATTGTAAGATGTATTAAAGCATATGTGAGAAATCAGACTCTCTTATGAGAAATTTTTGGTAATAAAAGTCGTAGAAAATTTTTCTTTCATCATTATCTCCTGTTTTCACCCCTTTGCCCAGGGAGCAGACCGTGTGACCCCAGGACTTGTACTGCATCACTTAGAAAGGTGACCTCCTGTGTAGATGTCCGAGGCAACCGCGGAAGAACTCCCCTCTCCCCATGGGACTACTCGATTGTAAGATATCTGTGTTATAACTAATTAGCAACCACAAACATGTGTTACTGTGTTGAGGGTGGACAAAAAGGTCACCTACAAGGATAGACCATATGGTGAGAAATTATATCATGTTACCGAGGATGGCCAGTCATCTCCCCAGGTGATGATGAATTTAATACTAATTGGTCAAAAGATGTCTATATAGCGTCATCACACATGACAGGGGAGACGGTAATAAATCTGGAGAACTGTCAAATTCAAGTAAACAACACACGCTGCAAAGACAATTCCGTCAACGGAATCCCAGATATTTCCCACGATAAACGGGTATAAAAGGGGATCACTCCCACACCTACGGGCGATCGTCGAGGGACAAAGCCAAGGATCGGACTCTTCAAGCCTTCTCTGCCTCTGGATACTTTGCAGCTTCTGATCGCCGCTCCAAACGAGGTAAAGATTTAGAATATTTTTGCTTCCCTCTCTCTCGGTATACCTGGGACTTAGAGAATATTCGTCTCTCAGTTTAGACAGAGACTTAGAAAATATTCGCTACCTTTATAGGTTTTAGGTTAAAACATAGAAAATATTGGATAGAGGACCTTCGGCGGTCCCACCGATGGGAAAGACAGACATTGTCTGTCTGATATTGTTGCAATGCAGATATAGTATTATTATTACTTTGTTTTTGTTTAAATATAAGATGTACTCTCATGTATTTATATTATTTATTTTATATTAAATATGTTATTCTTAAATCTAATGTCTCATCTTTGAGTACGATCGACACCTCGTCACGACTTCACTACCTCTCCCCACTCAGTTAATAAGGCCATTCCTGACTACAAAGCCAATAAGTGGGGAGAAGTGCACTGCTCTAACCCCCTTGGTTCACACATAGCTTTAATGTAACAACATATAAAATACATCTTACAATGAATTACTTAATTACAAATAATTTTATATGTAACATTAGTGCTATACTTCAATGTAACAAAATATAAAATTGGTTACATGAGAAATTAAAAATAACAACAATTATTCCAAATTTTTTTTAAAAAAACCTAAAATTTTCAGCTTTTTTTCAGTAACATATCACACAAGGAACTGTCCAGAAGATGGAAAAACTATAGGCTTTATTAATGGAAAAAGTTTTTTCCATTAATACGAGGGCTGTTCGGAAAGTTCGCGACCTTGCCTATATGCGGCACTGCGATCAATTTAATTTTTGGCGGGAATAATTCAGCCATCTTTGCTAAAGATACGATACCAATTTCCGCTTGATTTGTCAAAAAGTTTTGCCACGACAGCTTAGCAGATAGTCAATGTGCACATGCTTTGTCAAAAATTGAGAAGACGGAGACTCGTGCAGTCATAAAATACCTGACAAAAAAAGGGTTGACCCCATCTCATATCAAAGCTGACATGGATGAAGTTTTAGGAGAGTCTGCTCCTTCGTACACCACTGTGAAAAAATGGACAGCCCTTTTTAAATCTGGCAGAGAAAGTGTGAAACATGACCCTCGCAGCGGACGGCCGTCGACTGCTGTCACTGAAGAAAACATCGACAAAGTTCACAATTTGGTATTAGCAGATCGCCGTTTGAAAACACGTGAGATAGCTGAGACAACAGGCATCTCTGTCAACCAAGTGCACCATGTCCTAACCGAAAATTTGGGTATGATGCAGGTCTCAGCAAGGTGGGTGCCGCATCTGCTGACCGCCGAGCAAAAACGTGTTCGCACTTTGATGTCAAAGGAGTGTTTGGACTTCTACCAGAAAAACCCACAGGATTTCTTGCGTCGGTTTGTGACTACTGACGAAACGTGGATCCATTACTACACTCCTGAAACAAAAGAACAGTCGAAGCAATGGAAACACCACAGTTCGCCACCACCAAAGAAGGCAAAGACAGTTCCATCAGCGGGTAAAGTGATGGCCTCGGTTTTTTGGGATGCTAAAGGCATCATCTTTATTGACTACCTAGAAAGAGGAAAGACCATTAATGCTGTCTATTACTGTGAACTTTTGGAAAAACTGAAGAAAGAAATCGAAGAAAAGAGGCCACACTTGAAGAAGAAAAAAGTTCTGTTCCACCACGATAATGCACCTGCACATTCCGCCAGAATCACTGAACAAAAGATAAACGAACTTCGCTTCCAATTAGTTCCACATCCACCGTACTCACCTGATTTGGCCCCCAGTGACTTCCACCTTTTTCCAAACCTAAAAAAATTCTTGGCTGGAAAGAGATTCCACTCAAATGACGAAGTCATCTCTGAAGTGAATGAGTATTTTGCACACCTTGACAAATCGACCTATTGTGATGGCATAAAAAAGCTAGAACATCGCTGGAATAAGTGCATTGCTAACAGAGGAGATTACATTGAAAAATAAAAAAGTTTTAACATTATTTTGTTTGTTTTTCTATGTGAGGCCGCAAACTTTCCGAACAGCCCTCGTAAAGCCTATATCAATTAGAGTTCCTTGTGTGATATGTTACTGAAAAAAACTGAAAATTTTAGGTTTTTTTAAAAAAATCCACAGAAACCAGTAACAGAATGAACAATTATTCCAAAGATATACTGAGGACATTAATTCTAAATTATTTAATAAATATTAAATAAAATGTTGAAATTAAACATTAAGATAATACTTGATTTTTAATCACTGACCTGTGTATTATATAGTTTATTTTTTCCTTGATATACTGTTACATCATTTTCTGTATTGAAAAATGGTTCATAATAATCATTTGTAAAATTCCTAAAATTTCCACTTTTGTCACCAGATCCAGTATCACCATAATTCAGAGTATTCTGAATACCAAAATTTTGTGAAACTCTTTTCTTTCCTACATTATAATTTCCTCCTGACCACATATTGTTGTATGGAAAACTTTAAAAGAAAAATAACAATAATTATTATTTTGCACAAAATGTCAATAACATACACAATTCAGTTATCAAATGAAAATAATAAAAGTAAACAGTACATAAGATATATTTTATTTTTGAATATTTTTGTGTCATTTTTATACAGTATCTGTACCTTCTAATGTTAAATTCATATTAATATATAAAATCAATATCATATCATTTATAGAATCAATATCAATATCATCTACAATCTGTTTCACCAAAGAATACAGCTCTCCAAAACATATGATGTCACTCTGAAAGCTTCTCATTGGCTACTGGGCACTATTCACTTCACATTAACCAAAGAAAAGTTCTGCTGATTTTAACATTCAAAAATTATTATTATGGTATCGCCTAACTTACAAAGTTATTAAAGAAATACATAAAGTTTACTTCCTTTAAAACAAATTTTACCATCTCCCTTATACTAATAATGCCAATGTCGAAAGAGTCAGACTGGGTCTGCCCAATTTCAAATAAAGAGTTAAGTATTTTGACTGAATTTTAACCTACAAATATTTTAATGGCATCATAAAGAATTACTGGCTCATGTTGAACATTCCTTCTAGAATAACTAGAGCACAATCTTGTTTATATACCCCTTTTTATTGCTCAGCATTAAGTCACAGATACATCAATCATATGTCACCCATCAAAAATCACCTTCATCAAAACTTAATAAAATATAAAAACCTTTGTGAATGCTTTATTCATAATGTATGATCTTTATTTCCTTTCATCATTTGTTCATTTCTTTCTAAAAATTTCTTAAATTTGTTTTTTTTTTATAATTGTTATTTTTGATTTTATTGTATTTTGGGATAAATCATGTTATTCGGGGTGGAAATCCTTTGTCAAACTGAGTTCCAATTATATGTAAAATAAATAAATAAATAATGACTTTAGCAATATATTGTAACCTATAAATAAGACACAATTTCTTAAATGAAATGGACAAGGGATAAATTCAGAAATTTGGACATGAAAAATCCAGAACAATTCTCACACATGCACAAAGTGTATCACCATTACTGTTGAATGCTTTCTCAATAAGATAATGCCACATTTCTTAACGTTTTATTTGGCTGTATTTTCTCTCCTTATGTTTGTTTCTTTTACATATTCTTTTACATTTTACAAGCGAAGTTGACAAACTATGAACAATATCGCCAGCTTAATCATGAGGTTCAACAGAAAATGAAGATCGATTGAGAGCAGTACTGGAACAAAGTGGCCGCTGACCTGGAAGCAGCAGCGTCCAAACATGAGTACCGTACCCTCTACAGCACTCTCAGAAAGCTGAGCGGAAAGTCCAAAGTAACAAATGATACCATAAAGAAAGCAGATGGAACATTCATAAAATCATCGACAGAACGATTGCAACATTGGAAGGAGTTCTTTAATAATCTGTACAATCATGACGCTCCTCAGGGAGTGTTGTTAGCAGACCCACCACCGATTGACCAGCCCACAACATCTATGTCAGACACAGAGCCTACAATTGCAGAAGTGAAGGCAGCCATTGGATCGCTGAAGATTGGCAAAGCTACTGGACTGGATCTGATCACTACAGAAGCGATCAAGGCTGGTGGTGACATTCATTCATTCATTCATTATTTTATTGTACATATATAATATATATATACAAACCAGTCCCGCTTTGGTGCATTACCGGTTGTACACAAAGAAATTACAATGCTCAGGTATAGATGTTGTACACATAACTCTAATGATGAAGAATTAAAAGAACACACAAAATAAAATACATAAAATAGTACATCAATAACATGAAAATCAAAATAAAAACAAAACAAGTTAACTGATCTATATACAACTATGTACAAATTCATGACAAGCTGCTGTTAGTATTGAAAAATGTGTAAAGTTCACCATTATTATCAAATATATATACTTGATTATATAATACATAAGACACAATAAATAAGTACAATAATCAGCAATTTGCCAATCAGAGAGAAATACTTGACATCAAAAGTGTGTCGATGACACCAAAGTACAAACAATAAAGGAAATTCAAAGTATGCTAAGTACAGTACATACAATTTATATGACAAAATGTATGGTCCTTAGTAACAATTATTAGAAAAAACTAAGATCATTAATTAAAATTATACAATAATCAAATATTATACAGAGATATTCATTCTACAGTTCCAAAATACAAATGTCAGATCACAATCTCCAGACACCGGTTAATCCTCGAGTTGAGAAGTAGCCTCGCAGATCACTGTATTACGTAGTCAGTCCTTTGTTGGAATTTAATTTTTTCTCTTAGATACACTGGGCAAGTTTTATCCATTGTGTTGTGACAATTCTGTACTCTGTTTTCTCTTAAGCAGTTAGCACACTTCGGCGAGTCATGTTTGTTTTGACAATCTTTATATAAATGATTTCCGTTACAATGGCTACCCACATTTTCTTTTAATTAAAGAACAATTTTTTGCAAAATGTCCAAATGATAAACAGCGATAGCACTGTGTTATAGGGAGAAAGTCAAAGACAGGACAGGTTGTCCCAAAGAAGATGGATTTTTCCCGCTTTTATCATATTTTCTCTAATTTGTGGAGATACTTCAAGAATCCAGGAAATATGATTTTCATTTTTTTGAATTAAGTGGAAACCTTACATTAACATTTTCAACAAAAGTGCATTCAGTATAGGTGGGAAAAATGTACAGGTTTTGCTCAAAAATGTCTAATGCAAAGTCCTCTTTATTAATGGTTTTCGGAACGGAAGCAATTTTGACTAATGGTAGTCTCTTTTTTGGCAAACGTGATACTAAACCTGGAATTTGTTCGACATCCTCTTTAAAGTAGTTTACCTCATTCTTATGGTTTAAATCTACTGCAATTCCACCATTCCTAATTTTCCTTATTCAACGTATGCCTACGCCAAGCTTATCAGGTCTCACGTTATTAGTTAAAATACTTTTCGTTTCATCAGAAGTGGCTCTATTATTATCACTATATACTAATACAGTATATGCAGGTAGAGATGGTTCGTCTATAATTTTAGTTTGTTTTATTCCCTTTTGTAAGATATCTTTATAGCTAGGAAAGCTAGGAACTTTTTTACTAGTTAGATCATCAAAAGAGATTTTCCTCTGATTTTGTACTGTTTGTTAAATATCCATTAGGATTTTTGTAGTTTCATCAACGTGAGCATCTTTGAATTTCTTTAAATCATCTTTAGTAGCTAATCCTGAAAGTGTCTGTTCAATATAATCATATAGATTATTTTTCTTAAAAATACTTTCCACCAGTTCTACTACTCTGATGAATTGTGTCAGTACATACGTTAAGTGACATTCCACTCCTAATTTGGCATTCGGGTTATGCTTGGAATATTGTTTAATCTCATCGATAATGCCATAGGCAGTGTTGTGAAATGTTTTGACTTCAGATTCCATACCAATCAAAATAATAGGTTTTAGAATTTAAAAAAAAAAAAAAAATTAACGGAGAAAATGTAACTTCCGGAAAAAGTTCTAGAAGTTTCCTGTAGAAGTCATTGAGCATTGCTATGACTACCGGCAATGCAACAGTAGTGTTGAAATTCCAAAATTTTTGTAGAACAGCGATAATTTAAAAACTATTGGAGATATTAGCATAAAATTTTTGGAAAAAGTCATGTTTGGTATCTTCTAAGAGACGCCCAAAAACTTTTCGGAAATAACGAGTCGGAAGCGAGTTATAACCCACTGAAATTTAACTGGAAGTAAGAGATAACTCCTTAACTACTGGGCCTAAAACCTCGAAATTTTAAAAATGTACTCACGTTGTTAGCGCGATAAAATATCCGGTTGATTGGTTAAGATGGTCAGGATAATCAAGGCAGAAAAATCGGGGTTTTCAAAAACGTGTAAAATCGTGAAAATCATCCAATCTTAACAAACTTGATATATTTTTAGTAAGAAAAATATATCAAGTTTGAACAGTAAGAAAAATACTTTCCAAAAATGTATAACAACCCTGACAAATTATAAGAATTATAGCAAAAAACTTTGAAAAACACAAAAGCAAAATATTCACTACCAATCTCTCAGGATCCAGCGCCCTCTCACTGGTGGTGACATCCTGCACCACCATCTTTATCTACTCATTAAAACAATATGGCACACAGAACAAATACCAGCTATCTGGAAGAAAGCTATCATCGTGCCAATCCACAAGAAAGGAGATAGCCGGGATTGCAGTAATTATCACGGTATCAGTCTCCTTTCCATCGTTGGCAAAGTATTTATGAAGATAATCCAATCAAGGTTACAAAAACACCGTGAAGAAACCAGCCAAGAAGAACAGGCAGGGTTCCGTCCTGGTCGTGGTTGCTGCAATCAAATCTTTGCCCTGCGTCAGCTTATAGAGGAAAGGACCAGATGCGGCAAATGGACTGCTGTCCTGTTCATCGATTTCAAATCTGCATTCGACTGTGTGCACAGGCCTGCGCTATGGAGAGCACTTGAGAATGAGCATATCCCACAAAAAGTTATCACACTACTTAAGGAAGCCTACAAAGATTCCACCAGTCAACTGCAAATCCGGGGGGAACTGTCAGAGGAGTTTACCATCCAGACAGGAGTTCGCCAGGGAGACATGGTCTCTCCACTATTGTTTAATATTGTGGTGGATTCAATTATGAAGAAGGCATTTGATGGGAGACGCGGTGTCCAGTTTGGGGATGGCCACTTTGTAACTGATCTAACGTTTGCCGACGACAGTGCCGTCTTTGCTGACAATGATGTAGTGGCCACAGACACGCTTTATGATATCGCCACTATCGCTCAGTCATATGGTCTTAAAATAAATGTGGACAAAACCAAAGTGCTTACAACAGATGGATCGCAGGCAACTGTTTACCTTAATGGAGTCCAAATTGAGCAGGTACAAGAGTTTAAATACCTTGGGTCACTGATCCATAAGAAAGTGGCATTGTCAAAAGAAACTCATGCCCGCATTG